ACTTGATTGGCTTAGAGCTGTTTCAGACGCATATGTACGTTTCGTCAACAATCAGCGACGAATGGCTGTAACAAAGCGGGACCCTCCCCGCATGCCACCTTAGTCGTGAGGCAGACAAAAGGGCAATCTCTTGCCTCCCACAAAACACCGGAAACGTGCGCCGAACAACGGAGGGAGCGCTTGCCCTTCGCACGTCGCAAGACAAAGGCGCACCTTGCACCGGAAGTACAACCATCAGGTCAGCGCAGATTGGCCCCGAGGATGAACAAAGATTCCGCAGGCGTGTAAAAGGACCAATGAGCGTTGGAACGAGAAGACTATTGCGTAGAAATGAAGATTATGATATCTCGTGTAGGCAGTTATTGCCATTTGTATGTACGCCACGCTTGTAAGTAAAGCCGTATGACCATATTCCGCGTCCCGTTTGCAACAACCCCCAGCCGGTTGCAATATTGCAGCCTTGCTTTGCTGAATTACCGGTGTCCCCTGTATTACAATTCAATATCATTGCACTGGCATATCGGAAACATGTACTTGAGCAGGCAAGGTTAACGGAGTTCACATAAAATTTTAAAAGAATGGCACAAAATGTGGAGCATTGTGGATCGAAAGGTTTGCCCTCATCGTTACCGAGTTACATCGTTTAACATACTTCCAGTCACATAAATTTATTCGTTGTGAAAGTAGTCCGACAGCCATCTTAGTAATTCTAATTTGCTCCTGTATCGTATGGGAGTCTGCATGTAGTGCCGTATAAACAGCTGACCGTTGTGAACATAGGTAATGATATTAATAAAAATGAAGTCCTGGCTCTGAGAGTGGGCGTTCTCTATCGAGTAGAATCTGCGAAGGATTTTCGTCAGACTTCACTTTAGCTCGTATGGAATCATGCAGGAAATATTCTGCCTTAATATATTTATTGCCTAGCATTTAATTCAGAAAATTTCTGCACTGTAGTTTCCGTCGTGTACAACCAGTAAGCAGAATCCGTGTGGAGCTAAAATTACCAATTGTACGGTTCCGCAGCACTTTGTTAAAATGAACTCGGGAGTTGAATATTTTGGGTTGCTTGCTGATCAATGTGTCAGCCGGGAACAACCTTGATCAATGAGAGGTAAAGCGCTGCCATCGTTTTCAGTGTTGTGTAGACAGAGGAGGTCGAGGTTGGCTCGGAAGTGCTCATGAACCTCACTAAATCCCGCTTCTACCATTCTTTCTCTCCACTGCTTTCGGTCTATTTCTTTTGTTTTCAGAGAAAACAACTGGCTGGTGTCCCAAAACTTTTGAAACTTCTTAGTTGACTCTGTGTCAGAGGTGATGATGAGGTTCGGTTCATTCTGATCCACGTACTCAGCGCAGCTCTGGTCTAACCGATCCCACTCACCTGCTCTACCTGTGTTTCCAACAATGCCTTTCGAAGCGGCCAAGCACAAAATCCGCGTACATTCCTTATATGTGCCGGGTTGAGCTTTTCTGAAGGTTAATTAGTCTTTCCGTTCGCTGTCATTTTTAAGTAAGGACCGTCAGTTTGTCAGACCCAGCCGTACTGATAGAAATCCACATTTGTACTGTATTCGTTGTATTTATTTATCTGTTACATTCAGGTTTCAGAAAGTCATTGTGTGCCTTAGGGTTCAACCAAGTAAGTTTTGCTGACTGGTTTTTCTGCGGACAGCTTGAAAGATGCACAAACTATTAGAAAACCCGGGGATTAGTTCATAAATTCATAAAACTGTGCTGTACGTAAACAATCGGTGCGACTGTTCTGCCCACACCGTAAGATGGTCTGAAAACGGACGAGCGAACATCGTAAACGCTTCCCTATATTGAGTATGATCGAGTTCATATATTCTTTGCCTAGTGTCTATCAATAACAGTATAAGTAAAGGCTCAAGTATGCAGCTGACTGCACAGAGACTTATTAGTTAGCCGTTCTGTGAAGCCTAGAATTACGTGTTATAGATATGAATAGAGAGACAGAAATTTTTGTATGTTATTCGCTGTATGTGTGAAGCTTGAAAGATATTGCCGTCTTTTTTAAACTAGTGATTCCTATGTAGGTATTCCTATTTAATCGATGCTGAAAATCGTGCAATTCAAATTCTAACCAATAATTTCGATAAGGCCATCAGTTTTTCATGACATTGGACTTGCAAACTTTATAAACTTTATTTTGGTTGCATGCGTATATTATCAACAATTTGAATTATTCCTAAGACCAGACACATTATGGTCAAATATACGGTGAGACTGATCCAGATCGACGCAAACGTGTTCAACAGCAGTAATCCGAGAATGATATTGAAAGAAGAGGCGACGCAGAGCACACAGCCATTCCAATAATGAACTCTGAGCAGCTTGCGCTTAAACTGCGAAAAATGATTTGACCTTGAAAAAAATAAAGTAAAACACTTTTTATAAATTTGCGTAAAGGCGATATACGATATAATGTACAGAAACATAGATCATGGGCTATCAACAAGTGTTCCACCTGCGGAATCGCCTATTATTCTTCGTTGTAGCAGAGAGTTTAAGAAAAGAATGCTTGTAACCGCAACTATACCTTAATCCTCATGTATCCCCTTATGCAAAAAATATGCCAAACATAGGATGGGCTGTTATTTAAAGGATCTTTGCTGAAAAATATTAGCTTAAGCTTCTTCAGCGCTTATACGGCCACAACAACATAGAATTTTACTGGCTTATATTGAGAAGGTTGCATTCATGGCTTCAACACTCAGATTTCATCGAGTACAATGCGATGAACTCCTTGCACCAGGAAATCCGTGATAAATGAGTAATATTTTCATTTATGACAAAAACTTCATCCACCCCACCAACCCCATGTGATGATCGCCACATTCACACTACCGTATTTTCCTATTGTATGAAAATATAACTCTTGTTATGTTCGCCTCCTTTTATTTATAACAGAGGGAGAAACGAAATTCAAAGTTCATAAAGAAAAAGGAAGGTTTGTAACGTTTTGGACGTCGATCTTCTTACATTATCATGATTAAGCGGGTTCATGATTTGTGGCTCCTTTCTTTTCGTAAAGTTATAAGTTGGGCGCTGACGTGTGTTTCCTTATTATAAGCCATCGGTGCCTTATTTCAACAGCGGAATGTGCGGCTACGCGGCAAGTGTAGTAAGGGAGACGAGTGACTCTACCGAAACTTGAATTCGAACCTCTTGGTTATGAGTCGAACGGCGCTGACTGAGCAATCCCATTGGTTCAAAGTAATAGCCTGCTTGCCACTTCTGCTCTAAAGGATTGCAGCACTTAATGAGTTCGTTGCTGCAACGTCCATGTTGCAATCTTTAATGCTTGGAAAACGATAGTGCAGCGAGTGAGAGGTCAGCTTCGAATGATGGCGATGGGCTTGAATCTAATTTGCGGCAAAAAACCTTTCTTATTAATTGCTAACTTCCTTTGGCGAAAAATTTGCACCACTGTGCTACTTCAAGGTAATGTGGCGTGATACCGATGGTAAGTTAATGATTGCGAAAAACTGTGAAACTTGGTGTTCCAATTTGGTCATGCTAGAACTGGCGAGACTTACGGTAGGGCTGTCTGATGTGAGTGCCTTCAGCTACAAATCTCCTCGACCCACCTGCTAGCCGACTATCTGACGCATTACATAATCATGTAATCATCATTATTTATTTTATTACTCATTCGTACACTTATTTCATACCCTGCTGTTTTTCCACGTTGCGAAATGGCAGCGTTAGAGAGTTCTCCGGCACACAAACAAACGGACTAATTTTCAAGGCGTTAATCTCTGAGTGTTTAGAATATCCTGTGTACTGTCACTTCGTCTATCGACATGCGGCATCGAGAAACGAATTAATCTTGTAAGTCTTTCGCGACCTTTAGCTAAGGCCAGCCAGTGATATTTACTTAATTGAACCCCAAAGCACACGACAGGGTGTCAAGACCCTGAATATGACAATAAGCAAAATCTCAATGATAAAACCAGCAGCGAACGTGGATGCATGTCACTCTGACCACAGCGTGGTTTAAAGTGACAGTTTTTCTTTCTTGAGACCGCGACATCAAACAGCGAACGGAACGTCAGTCACAACTACAGTCGACGTATCCAGAGTACTGTGTCCTCACATACACCCGAATTGTCAAAGAGCGACGCGTTGCAACACCATTGCATAAACCGATGGCAGGGCGATTCTTTCCAAATGTTTAAACGCAATCAGTGTCATTGCAGTGAGTCTCCAGTCAGATGCCATAGATGACGTGGGAGGTTAAAGTATATGAGTTATTCGCATCGTCTACCACTAATCCGGCACTTGATCCTCTGATGGCTGCCGCTGTACAGTTTGGCCAGAAAGACTTTTTACAGAGTAAGCACAACATTCACTCAAATTACTGAGGCTTGAAACGAGTAAGCGTAGGAGGTTTAAAGGGATTCACTTATGTAGCGCGACTAATGGTGAAGGTGAATGACATGCTTCTGCTGAAACTAATAGCTAACTAAGCTTATGCCACTATTCACCAGAAACGAAGGCAGTTTAGGAATTTCGAACTCTGCATCTGTTGAGCTGCATAGCGAACTACTGCGCCTCTCCTCATACACTGTATGAGTGAAACATAATTTAATTGGTCATTTCATATACAATCCATCACAGTTATCCATCTTCCGGTGAAGCTCAGACGTTGGCGCAAGGATCATGGGAGACACTGTCTGACGATTATATCTGCCTGAACTGAAAGGATTATCAGAGATCTTAACTGTCTTGATTGCCTTATACAATATTATGGCTACCAAAGTTGTTGTTAACAAGAATAGCAGCGGGAATCTACGACCGTCACTTGGGACAGAAGGAGCAATCCCATTCCAGAACTTTAGCATTTCATTGCAAATGATCTGTTCCAAATTGAATTATTAACTCTCGATGATTCATTTCCTTATTGGATGTAACTATTTTCGACTCGCCAGACAAAAGTTTTAAAATTTAGAGAGTTTAACAGAAGCATGTACTTACAACAGTGCGATCATGGGCTGCAGCAACAACATCAGCATGACTGTGATGCCGAGAATGCTGTGAACGCATGAAAAATGGTCACCGCTTTTTGTGGCCGTAATGGAGCATATAAGTCCGCATACTGCGAAAGCTGTTCCGATGCCCTGTAAAACAAAGCCCTGTAAATAACTGGAACCATGCATCACGAGAAATTTCATGACATGATACAGCAGCAACATGCTGAACGTTATTTGCACTATAAACCAAACTACTGGTGAGACGTAAAACAAATATACAGTTAATAAAGTTTAATAGTGTATATCGACCTGTTAATAAAATTTTGAATGGCTTGTCGTAAGTACGGACAAACCTCGACTTACATAGGAGTCAGGTTCTTCAAACCGTTGAGTGACAGGAATTTCCCATAAGTCTTATGTAACCACTGTGACCAGTAGCGCCATTCTTGGTGAAACCTCACGGAACGCGATTGTCATATTTTTCAGTACAGAACTTTCCGATTCCTGTTCCGGTTCTGTAGCTTCAGCTTCGACATCTTTTGCTGCTTCAAATTCAACGAGTTCTTCATCCAATAATTCATCCTCATTTGAGCCAATTAATTCCTCAAAATTATGTTGACGTCCGTTTTTACGGGCAGCATTTTTCAAAACTCTGTTAAGTGATAACGGCGCAAGGGCACGACCACGTCCTGCAACCATTAATTTTTTTTTTACATTCGTATTTTTTACGATGTCCATTTTAAACTCTAGATCAGTTCTGGTGTGTTTACGCATGGATTTACGTTTTCAACTTCTATCCCTTCCTTTAATCACGGCTG